AACGGACACTTGACCTTGGAGGCCCCAGACATGGAGAGGCTGTGCTTGCCTGTAAAGCTCCCCAGGAAAAACCCCGTCCGGAACTGCAGGTACTGAGGAGGGGATTTCCCCCCTTCCCTCTCCCTAAATGCTGTCTTTCTCACATGATTTGCTGATTGTGATGCTTTACATTTTCTTATGCAGAAATTGTAAGGTAAAAGTTGGGTGCTTCTGTGTCTTTTTTGCGGGGGTCTGTCTCTCCATCTGCACAATGAAGAGAGACTTCAGACCGGGGCATGTACTGACAGAGCAAGGGGCAGTTGGCTTAGTGGGTTTAGATTAGATATTAGGAAGAAATTCTTTACTGTGGGGGTGGTGAGGCGCTGGCATGGGTTGCCCAGAGAAGGTGTGAATGCCCTCAAAGTGTTCAAGGCCAGATTGGATGTGGGGATGGGGTTCTGAGCAACTTGGTCTAGTGCAAGGTGTCCCATGCTTTGTTAGGGGGGTTGTTGTAGGTGATCATTTCTAATCCAGACTGTTCTGTGATTCTGCAAAATTCTCTGCCATGTGTTGTACAGGAGGCTAGGATTGATTGTCAGAACAAAAGGTCTTTTGTTTTAATCTGCTAAACATTGGTGAAAAATCTCAGGAAAAGATGACACAGCGTCAACAACCATGGATTATACATCTGCCAAATGAACCGTGATCTGCCATCTTCATAGAATGTCGTGTTTTCTCATTCGTTTTTACTTCTAGGGTTTTCATTTTTGCTTGAGTGAGCAGTTACATCTCAGTCATGTACTTTGCTGTTTCTGACCACAACTAGTATATGTATCAGCATTTTTGGATGCACGCTGGCCATTCAGAGCTGGTGAGATGTCAGAGTTGAGAATCCCTCACCGTGGTCTGTAGGCATTTAACTGAGGTGCCTAAATTAAAAACTTGGTTGCCTGAGGCTTTCTCTGTGGTTTCAGAGGAAAGACAGACATCCCCAGAGACTGAGGCATTCCCTGTAGGTGCTACTTCTAAGGAGTTTCAGATGAACAGATTGCAGAGAGTGATTTAGCTGTGTGCTTAGAGTTTTGTTGTATGAATGCAGTCTTAGTTATTTTATCCATGAAATCCATGCTGGAAAACTGCCAGCTGGGGAACCGGAAAACCTTTTCTCTGCTAAAATGTTAATTAATATGTTAAGAGTATTTAGTAGCTGTAAATGCTGTTAGCCCCTACAAAAATACTGGTGAGTGTTTGTCCTTTAGATGGCAGAGATGGTTAATGTACCAGCTGCTACAATTAAAACTAAGAGTGCTGGCAAGGAACTGCTGTGTTTGGTAGTGTTTAGCATAGATCTGTTGCTGTGGAAACCCTCGATCAGCTTAGTATCTCTGTTTATACAAGGCAGATGGAAGTTGCAAAAGGTAGCATTTCTCATGAAGAAATGGAGCAGTGTTTTAAAAATCTGTCTGTAATGGCTGAATGCCAATGACATGTACTCTGCAAAAGCATGCAATTTTCAAGATGTTATTTTTCTAAAATTTGCCGTGCCATTAGTAAAATATTTTAGTACATTTCAGTAATGAAAAATTATGTTGGGTTTTCCAATTTTAGATCTCGTGGCTTGTTCGTCTGAATTATTTTTTTCTTTCTTTGCCTGAATATAACTATTGCACACTCTGCCTTTAAAACTGCTAGAATTTGAGAGTGCAAATGATCAAAAGTTAGATGCATGTAAATGGACTTGAGGAATTACCAAATTTTGTGGTATTGTAGGTGATGTCATAGGATGTGAAACTAGGAACACCTGTAGCTGAACTTCTCAGGAAGGATCCTGAGGATTTGTATGTTGTGCTTAAACAATTCTCCATTTGTCAGCTCAGGGCTGACTCTGATCCATTCATCCATTTGTAAGAATGAGGTTTGGCAGTTGTGCAGTGTTCAGCAAAGATTTGGCTCTTGCTCGTACATTATTCACTTCCAGCTTGTGAGTGGGAGTAGATGTCTTGCTGCATAGTGTACTCTGCCAGCAAAGGCCTTCAGGAGAGACTTGGGTCTGTTCCACCTCTGGGCCAGCACGATATCTTCTCATGGGTGCTGGCCCATGCTCCCTGTAGGTTGGAGCTGAGGCAGTGCAGTAGTGCTGCAAAAGGCTATGCAGATTCTAATATTGAAAACTGACAAGTTCAGTTGCAGATTTTATGTAGCTATTTAAAAATCCTGTGTTTAGGAGAGTCAAATGTAGGACTGAAGCCATTGTACAGTTACAGTTTCTATTTGTGCAAATGATCTAGAGGGCTTCTGTAGCCCTCTGCTTAAGAAACCTTGTGTTTTTCATTCATGCCCTTTGTCAGTACGTGTTGTAATGCTTAAATTGCCTGACCTGTTCCCATGGATCCCTATACCACTGAGTGCTTAGGGTAGATCTGCTTTGTGAGTGGAAAACACTGGTGTTGGAAGCTCTAAGACCCTGTGTTTTCTTGCCAGCCAGAGGGCACACAGGCACACAAGCACTGCTGAGTGGAGGGAAGAGAAAGGCAGTTGTAATACTGTCTTGGGCAATGGCGTTTAATCCCAGCCTGTGTCGCAGAGTAGATACAGGAATCCCAGCAAATGGAGCAAGGATATTGCTGCCAGCACCCTAATGACTGATCTCTTCCCCAGATGAGTAAAGGAGGGCTCTAGATCAACTGCCTGGGTATCTCTATGCTTTAAGCTGTTCAGAATTTGATAGCAGACTTGTAGGAAACTTCAGTGCATTTGGGTCAAAATCGCTACTTTGAAGAAAGTAACAAAATTATTCATGACTGGTGCTGAAGTTCACTGAAAGGTTGAGTTGAGGTTTAGCTTTTCTTACCAGAAAAGTGTTCCTTGCATAAACTCGTTTGTATTTTGCTGCCTCTGGCTTTTTATGCCCCATGGACTTTGTTCCAGTCATAAATCTTTAACCTCAAGTTTGAGTTTCATGTGTCTCTTGCTGAATTTTTACAGCACTAAAATCTGAAGGATAGTTTCCTTAGCAATTAGAGACACAATAACATTTGTAAATGTCAATTATGGTAACTAACCACATCCTTTCAAAGGATCATTCAGTTGATTCTGGGCAGAAATCTTTTGGTGTTGCAGTCACATGCAAACAAGAGTGTATCCTTTTTTTACTTGAAAGTATGGCAAATATAGGTACCTATAGGTACTATATATAGGTACTAAATATAGATATTGATGTGGCAGGTAGCTCTGGGCACCTTAAGGCTATGTCAAGGCTCATTCTTTGACCAGCTGGTAATGTCCAGCCACGTCCATGTTACTTACCTTTCAAAACACAGTGGCCACAAGGAGATTGTATACTGGGAATGATCCTTGTGCCAGATTCAGAGCCACCTTCCACCTCATTGTAATTCAGGCAATTTTTTTACTGTAAATTGATACTACTATTAAAACAACTTCTTTGTCTTCAAATAATAAGCATCCTTGATCGTTCATCTTTCCAGCTAACGTGCTGCTGTGTTGTGACTTTTCAGGGTGTTTGGACAGGATATCCAAGGCAGGGACTGTGGTGATGAAGTGTCTAAGTGGATCACCACTTTCCTGAATTCAGAGCCCTATCGACTGGTGCACTTTGAGCCCTCCATGGTGCCAAGAAAGTCAAAGGACACAATAGACCTTTTCCAACCCACAGATGAGGTAAATGAATGTTCTTTCTTTTCAGAAGTACTTTTAACCATTTCCCACCCACCTACCAAAACCTGCCCATTACGTCATTGGTGATTGAGCCCAGTTTACCAAGGTGTATAGTCATGTACTTAAAATATGTGAGTATTATTCTTTCTATGATGAGGTGACCTGCTTAAATTTTACTTCAGCTCTGTTCTAACCTAAATAGTCTGAAACTGATATTTGAAGAGGAACTATTACATTGCAGAATACCATTCCTTATATTTCTGAGTTAATAGAAAAAAAATTGCATTTTAAAGATGTTTTGATGGTGTAATCTGTGTTGCATAGAAAGCCTTTATTCCTTATCCCTTATTAGGCCTGGGAGTATACTGGTACAACTTGTGTTATTTTTTATTTTATTTAAAGGAATGATGTTCAACTCAGGGATTTATAGTTGTAGGCCTAGGAATTAAAAGAAGGTTTTAGAGGTTTCATCTATCTCTTTCTGTGGGAAGAGTCTTGAAGGTGTGATATTAAAGAAATTCAGTGCAGGTATGGAAAAGAGATGCTGTGCTCAGACATCCTCATGTCATTGAGCCACCGATGCGCTTCTTTTTGTCTGAACAACTCTCTCAGGTGAAGATGGTTTGAACTGTACCTGATGAGTGTAAACTTTTTAAGCAAATTAAAATTGTGAGTATCTTGTCATATTGATGGTGTTATCTGTAGGGCATCAGTGTCTTGCTTGTTGCACAAAGAGAGGAAATTATAGTCAATTATAGACTTTTTATAGATATGCATTTCCTATATAATGGCACTGAGACCAATACAGAAGACTAGGTTTCAGCAAAAGGAATGTCAGATTAGGAGGGGTGACATTGAGGATTCCTAGCATGAAAAAAAAAGGCAGAATTTTTTGTGTAGTTATTTCAATACTCATCATCTTGTGGTTTAAAGGCATGTACAAGCATAGGGGAAAGAATAATATAAGAGAAAGACAGAAGGAGTGTTATACAGTAAAATTCTTCCCAAAAAATACTTTTTTATTCCTATGGAAGTTACTCTTAGGAGGTTTGGTTTTGTTGTTTTTTTTAATACTGTTCATTTGCCATGTTTGCTAATATTGCAGCCTTTCCACTGCCAAGCAAGCTTAGACTGACAGATGGACAGCTGTAATTGAGTATTGCTGCTTGGATGTGGAACTCCCTCTGCTGTTATGATCAGGCAGATTCATTAGCTAGAA